TCAAATAATCTTTTCAGTGAATGTGTAATCACAAACTGAGACTCATGCTGCAAAAGGAAAAACCTGGCTTGGACAGAGGGAAGTCTCCAGGGTGGGTGGGAGATGTAGGGTTCATGAAAAACTGTTAAAGGAATTACTTTTGAGCAGATATCTGATAGATGGCAGTTAAGCAGATCTAAGGGGTATAAGGGTGACAGTGAAGAAGGAGGGGAGCATATTCCAGATAAAAGAAAGCAGCATGTGCAAATATCTTGTTGCAGAAGGAAGTATAGATATCTGAAAGTAGGTTTTATATCTGAAACAAAGAGAAAAAGAACTCTTATGCATGATGAGGGTGGGGAGCAAGAAAGGATGATTAAGGAGATGTTTGAGAGGTGAAATCAAAAGAAATGGATATATATGGGAGTGAAAGAGTGAGTATTGTCCAGATAGTCTCTAGTTCTCTGCTTTGAGTCATAAAACACACGGACTACATCAACACCTAAGCAATTCTCTGACCACAGTAGGCTAGTTTGACTATCAACATTCCACTCCAACACTCTAAGAATGGGCCTCCATGTGGCTGAATTAATGGACAATTTCAGGGTTACTAATTGACCTCTCAGTATATGATATTTGAGATTGTCTTCTTGAAACTTTCTCTTCTCCCAGCCTCTAGGACCTCAGATTATTGTGGGTAAACTTCTCTATCCCTGATCGCTTTTTCTAAGACCTATGGTAGGGTTATCCTCTTCTATCAGCCTAATAAATATTGATGTCTCAGATACTTTCCTAAGAATATTTGCTCCCTGCACAATCACATCCTATTACCATTGATATGCTACTGACTAAAATTCTGTCTCTGAAATTCTCTGTCTTGAAAGTGTTTACACAGGAGCTGCATGACCATCTGCCAGAGAGGAAAATGAAGGAAAATGAGACAGTGACCTTTATCCTCCACTGATTGCTAGGAAACACAGTGACATGATATTACAATTAGTTATGTGACCTACATATAAACGGTGCGTGTGTGGCAATGGAAATCTTGTCAAACATCAAAGTTTGCTTCATGTCCTTGAGAAATACTGCGGGTAAATACCTGTGTGAGAACTGCATAGTGACAGACTGAATGATGTGTGATGAACAGCTGTCCAAACAGCAAGCTTGCTCATAGCAACAATAGCATTTCAGTTGTCTAAGCTGACTGCAAGGACCACGAGTGCTGCTGAGACTGGATAAAGCTTCACATTAGGATGTTCATGCTTTGGTATTTAGTACTTTTAAAATACAATCCCTTTATCAGATCAGAACAAAGTAATGATGAAAAGCAGAGCTGAGCTTATAGATGGTAGACTGATTGAAAAGACCTTGACAATACCTCAGATCCCCAAATATCTTCTTTATAGCTGTCCTTGGCTTTACCATTAATGTGCCATTCCTTTGAGTCAAGCATGGCCATCTCCCTGATCTTGATGGGAAAACAAGGGACAGAACTAGCCTAACTGGCAGGGTTCTACAGATTCCAGAGTAAGAATTTCTGACTTAAGACCATAGGATAGGGAGTGAAGGGTACCCTGTTCTATGCCACATGGAAGAGTAGAACCAAAAGATGACAGGAGCATATAAAATGGTACACAAGGAGTGCCTGAGTCGCTCAGTCAGTTAAGTGTCTTGACTTCAGCTCAGGTCATGATCTCACAGTTCATGAGTTTGAGCCCTGTGTGGGGTCTGTGCTGTCAGATCTTCTGTGTGGGGTCTGTGCGGCTTCAGATCTTCTGTCTCCCTTTTCCTCTGCCCCTCCCCTGCTTATTCTCTCTCTCTCTCTCTCTCTCTCAAAATAAATGAACATTAAAAATTTTTAAAGAAAATTGGTATACAAAACGTGAATTAAGAACCAGGTAGAGGAGAAGAAATGTCAGCAGGATGAGAACAAATGTTAATTACTTTAAGAATCATCTGTAAAACCTCTTAATAGAGTGACTGTTCTTTCCCACCCTCCACTGGTAGAGAGATAGGTGAAATGGGAGGAAATTCATACATGATCAAGCCTACCTAGTGCTATCAGGCCATCTCTTCACCCTCTCTTGTTTAATCCTCAAAAGACTCCAATGCTATAGGTATTATCATACCCATTTTTCAGGTTACAAAACCAGCTTAGAGAAGTTAACATTTTGCCCATGGTCAAATGCTTATTAGTTGTGGAAATCAGGTTCAAACCCAGATATGTTTGTCTCTAAAACCTTCCTATGTCCTAATTTCCCTTAGTGGGCAGAAACTTTCCACAAGGATCTCTTGAATAATGAAGCTTTACACGGATTTGGAAACACTGTCAAAATTAGATATATAAAAGATGTCAGATGTCCAAATATCTCAAGCTACTATACAAAATATTTTATTTGCATGCTGTTTTCTTTGATTAGTAGGGAGTTGCCTTCATGCTGTGCTTAGAAACATAACTGGCTTCCTAAAAAGCCACACAGAATTTAGGAATATTCTTAGAAGAAATTTGACTTTCATTTACACATTGATGTGCCTTTGGAAAATATGTCACAACTCACTCAGATTAGAAACATAAAGAGATTTTATTTCCATCTTTTAACTTTTTTTTGTTTCGTTTTGTCACAAAGACTAGCACTCTTATAAATTCAAATTTGTATAAAGTGTCACTAAAATTCCACTTGCCTTTATCTGGAAATAGTACCTGATTATTTAGAAAATTTACTGACATAAAACAGTTCTGGTAAGGAGAATTTCAGGTATGTCTGCATAAAGGAAAAAAGAGTATTAGGATAATCATTAATTGAGTAGAAAACACTTAGTTGTACTACATTTCCAATTGAGAGTTTGTAAAACTTAAGTCCACTAATATAAACAGAAATTTTGTGTTTAGCATCATTTCCATATTGTTAGTCACTGAATTGGATTGCAATAAACAAGATGACTAGCAAATTTCCAGCACAAGAATGTCTGCTTTTAAAAGACAGAAACAAAAAAGAGAGGTGCCTGGATGGCTCAGTTGGTTAAGCATCTGACTTAGTTTCCTTTCAGGTCATGCTCGTGTGGTCATGGGATCAATCCATGAGTCTGCTTCACACTGAGTGTGGAGTTTGCTTGGGATTCTCTCACTCTCTCTCTTTGCCTGTCCACTGCTTCCTCTCTATCTCAAAAATAAATAAATAAGCTTCAAAAAAGGGAAAAATGAGAAAGATGATACATTAAAAAATAAGAGTATATGGGGCATGTTTTTATAATTTTTTAAACTTCGGATTGGTGAGCATTTATTTGATTTGACTGAAAGATTGAGACAATAATACGTATTTTTAAAATGTTACTTAAAACAAACAGTGGTCAAATTTACAGATAGAGATTTTCAGTGCAGTGCAAATTATTATAATACATGGCAACATGATTAGATTGCTGAATTGCACTCTCTGTGAGTGGGGCTTTGGGGTGGGGGAGAAAGGCACAGAAACTACTGCCCTTTTCAACTAATTCACAAATGTGCTAATTGTGTGTCAGATTTGAAAGTTGAAGCATTGTGACCTTCAAGCCAACAAAAGCCCTTTTCAAATAAGCCACTTTCATGTACATTAATAAAGTGAACAATGCCCTTCCCCAATTAAATAATGTATGGCTGTTATTGCATTATATGTAAATGCAAATCAAGGAATTGTTTCACTATTCACATATTAAAAGTAATGTTATAAAAAAGGAGACTGTTGGGTGCCTGGGTGGCTCAGTCGGTTAAGCATCTGACTTCAGCTCAGGTCATGATCACATGGTTTGTGGGTTCGAGCCCCGTGTCGGGTTCTGTGCCTACAGCTCAGAGCCTGGAACCTGTTTCAGATTCTGTGTCTCCCTCTTTCTCTGCCCCTCCCTCACTCATGCTCTGTCTCTCTCTGTCTCAAAAATAATTTTTTTTTAAAAAGGAGACTGTAAATCCACTTAAGTTACATTTTGTGGTGCCCTACAATTGTGATCCAGGGATATGTTTCTGTCTGCTTCCATTGCTTGAGCTAACGTGTGGTTTTCTGCAACTGAATTCATTTTGGATTGGAGTCATAAAATCTGTAATGTTTTGAAGTATATAGTAGCCAACAGAGATGTTAAGAAAGTTAGAAAAATGATTTTTAAAAAAGCTATTTCCTTGCAGTGATGAAGACAGTGACATATCTTGTAGATCATAGGGAACACTGCCTCTGTACACACCCATTCATCTGCTAGCAAGAAAAATGAATAAAAGTCAGGGTCAAAGGAAAGGAAAGGAATCCCATACTCTTTCTTGTGGCTCTTTCATGGTATAAAGAAAGTATCTGTAAATATTGGACTTAGGTAAAGGTGATTATTTCACTGGAAAAGAGTGCAAGTTTCAAAAGCAATAATGTATAAAGGAATTTAGGTGCGACTAATGCTTGAATCAAACTGACTGCTGGAATGTCAGACAATGCCCATGAAGTTGTAGTAGAAAATCAAGAACAGGAAGAATTTAATTATCTTGTATTTGTCCAGCTTTGTAATATATTTGATGCTGAATAAAACAGGAGTAAAGATATAGTCATGCCTAATGCAACTGAAGTATGCACAATAGACCGCAAGGGGATAAAAAAATAATAAACAATTACAGACTTAAAATAAACCATAGCTATATGAGATTCCAAGAACCTATTAGCATTCAATCCATAGATATACTTTTTTTTCAGTCCTATAGGAAACCATAATAGTTAACATCTTATTATGGGTTAGATGTCAATACCAAGAGACTGGATAGAGTTGACTGATTCAATCATCCATCTTCCTTTTTGTTTTAAACCATTTTCTAGAGCCCTTTGTGTTAATTGTTTTAACAGATCCTTTGAATACTTCCATAAAACAGAGAGCAGTGACATTTATGAGAATGCTACTGGTTATCACTGAGATTTTTCAATGAGTATGTACATGCTCTAACCTATTTAGGATAGCAAATGTTTCTGCATTTCTTGAATAATCTGAAATAAATTCCATTAATTTGGATTGTATTTAAG